CCCCCCCCCCCCCGCTCGCCCCGGTCAACGCAGTGGAACTCCGAACTTGTCGTTGCTATGCGCTGCTCCGCGGCGGCAAGCATTCAGCAGCACCATGTTCCAGCCGTCCTCAGAGTGCAGCTACCTTTTTAGGTGAGACACAGGAGTCGGAGGGAGAGACCTTCTCGTCCCTGTTCCGTTTATTATTCTTCGTTGATGATGTTGAGTTAATCGAGGCAGACTTTGGTACTTTCTGATTCACGCACGTCTTGTTGTATTCTAATTTATTCTGAATCCTTCAAGCGATAAGAGTAGAGTAGGGCTATGAGGGAAGGGGGGGTACAGAGAGAGTCAGAGAGATGAGAATCGGCGGCGGCGTGCCGTAGGGCATCGAGCGATGCAGACTGCGAGAGTGCATGACGACCTCAACCTCAATCAGGTCTTGCAACAATGTCTCAAAGCAAGAACTGGTACCGCAGCGGCCACCAGTTGGTATTAACGCGCCCCCTCGTCAATAGTCTAACGACTACGGTATGCATGACTATGAGTACACCCCCCCCTCGTTACGTAATTGCATTACGCCAGCAGATTCGGCCTTCAGCCACATTGGTATATGCGGGGATTGTAAGGGATTGGAAAATTACATCTTAAACGGGTATTGATTCTCTCTTTGTGTGTATTTTCTACTCTGGTGCGAATTGTATCTCCGCGAGCCCGAAGACCTCTGTTCCCCGATACTTGCCTTCAACCTTGAAGCCAATCTCTGCCACCTGGGCTCGCATCAGGACCAATGTCATACGGCATGTCTTCACTTCCATCACCAAATCCACTCGCTTGCAGATAGTCCCCGTGGTCACTGCAGGACTAAACGAGTTAAATTACAACTACCCTGCCTTTGACGTGTAGGGTCTCAGACAATACACTCCTGCTTGCTCGAACACAATCAGGTCCTGGGATCAGTGCTGGGTGGACGAGTGTAGGGAGGTGACAAAGCGGGAGTACGGCTGTGCTCTCCGGCAGCGGGCGACAGACGCAGAGGCCAAAGCTGAGAAAGAGTTGGAGGCAAGAGAACGGGGGAAACAGTCTCCGGCGACCTTGGGTCGGTCTTCATCTAGGGGCAAGAGGCGGCGCAAGGAGCGAGACCAATGGGATATGGAGGCGATGATAGAGTCAGGGGATTGGCCAGATGGAGAGTCGGCGTGGCAAGAGGGGGGAGAGGAAGCACAAGAATGCGGCACGACCTTTCGACGGCACTTGCTCCAGGTAGCACCTTGTGCTTGTTGCGTTATTATGGCATTGAAATGCTGTTCGTTGGTTCAGGGCGGCAAGGAAGCATGGGCGAACGTGATGTGTGTGTGTGTCATGTCCTCTTGCTAAAGGGGGCATTGAACAGTCTAGATTGAGGGAGCGAGAGACGTATGACATGTTTAAGAGTCTCATCATGGTGAGGAGTCACCGGCTCATGCAATTTCACCAAAAGTCACAAGCCATTTTGTTGAACAAAACTCGTTCGTTACTGACACGTATGATGTGTCCTCGTTCCTTGTCATTTTCCCCTACTCCGTCCCTTTAAATCCCATGGATCGTGCTCTGAAAGGTTTTTGGAATTGCAGCAACAAATACTTGAGTCTCGACACGTACGTCCACTTCTTTCGGTTACTTTGCTGGTTTGGCGGCGGACTTTGGGAGTGACTTTTGGCTTCCACGTGCCCTGCAGTCGATGAAAAGACCGCTTTGTTGGGATCGTTTGGGTACTTCTCTCGAGATGCGTATGGAAAAGCGAGCCCTGGTTCCACCACATGATTTTATGGTCTTGTCGGTTGTCGCACACTCTTTTTTTCATGACTGAGCTAGTTTCAGCCCACAGTGTTTGTTATGATTAAAACGGTTTGCCTTAGTTCGGTGCAATGTCGATTTGTAATGACACCTTGTGATCGTCGTCTCTTTACCTAGAGGTCGTGTGGGTAGCGTAAGCTGTATCCGTTGCTAACCCTCTGTGTTCAAGACTGTGTTCCCTGCGTATCGTCATGATCTGTATACCTCTGTCGGTCTTGCGATGGCAGGTTTTCAACCGCTCGTGTGTTGTGTCTTTCCGTACATTCAATCGAATTTCTTGGTCAGGTGCGACACCCTCTCCAAACGATTGCATGGCTTGTCTACAAGTCGGCGGGTAAAAATAAGGAGGGGGTGGGCAACGACTGCAGGGCCGGTCGGCAGCATCTCATTACCGCCTCCTCGCTGCTAACCAACAAATTCATCAGAACACAGCTTGGAGCTGGAGGAAACGGTGCCTTCTCTGACTTTGACTGGGCCAGGGTAAGTGCAACGAGGAACCAAGCGTGTGATCGCCCGGCATTTCCAACCTGCCTTGGTCGCGCCGTGTTTGAAACCGTTGTCCAAACTCATACCGTTCGTTTCACGTTCGTTCTTTGTTCGTGCCTCTGTGCCCAAGCAAAGTCGTACGACACGAGGCTAGAACTTCGCACTAGTTCAATGTCTTCTGTTGTTCGGTTGTTCGTTCAATGTCTTTGTCACGCGCCTGACGACGTTCGCACAGGCTGATTTCGAGGTTCACAAGAACTATATATCGGACAGAACTCTTCCTTCTTGTCTCTTTCGGTGTTAACTCCGCCTTGCTTGCAGACGACTTCCTCCTTCGAAAAACGTGGCGAGGCGGCTGATATTATGTCTCCGAGATTGGACGCCGCGGTATGGATGGTCGTAGGATCATGTTCACGACATCAATATAGATTCTTACATTCTACAATGTCAAGATCTCGTCCTTCCTTCACAAGCAATCCATCCATAACGCGCCATCATGTTACTTGTACTCAAGGCCTCCCTCATTCAAGCACCACGCCCCCCCCCC